ATCTTTTAAATGTTTCTATTTAAAAAAATTGAAGAGAGAACAACTTTTAATATATATATATATATATATATATATATATATATATATATATATATATATATATATATATATATATATATATATATATTGACCAGTAGAATAAAATCCTGTTTTTAAGCTCTAGGGTTGCATGTTAAAAGATTAATTTAAAGAATATATCATGATAACATTGATGAGTATTTTCTATAAATGACATGAAGAAAAAAATTGCGGGGCGTTATTTTTGCAATAAATTATACTCCTATTTTTTTATCAAATGAATAAAATATAGGCTCTTTTCATTTATAAGAAAAATAAAAAATGACTAATACACGAAAATGATTTTTTTTTCTTAAATATCAATAAGTAAAGTAAAAAAATATTTTTTTACTTCTAACACATATATTTATCTTTATATATATATGAAAAAAATGAAAAACAACAACAAAAATTATTATTATTTAAATATATTTTTATTAGTTACAGTAATATATATATATATATATATATATATATATATATTATTTTAATAAAATGTTAAAAATATTATAAAAATGAAATGAATAGTTTAATATATTTTTTAATATAACATTATTTTATTAATTATCATTAAATAGGTAGATATTAAATATTATTTTATTAATAAAAAATTATTAATAATTATATGAATAATTTTTTGACTAATATTTTATTTTTCTTTAATTTATTATTTTTAAAGTGAATTTTTTTATCTGTCTTTTCTTAATCATATTTTTTATTCTGTTTCCTCTTTTTTTCATTTTTTTCTGTACTTACAGCAATTTTTTATTTATTTTTTAATATTTTCTTTTCTTATTATTAAAATGTTCCATAATGACGACACTTAAATAACGTCATTAGAAAAAAAGCCAACATAAAATAATTTGTTTCTTCAGCTGCGTTATTTTTATGTCATATACAACGAGAATTGTTTTCAGTTTCACGTTAAGAGGGAGGTGAGAAAAGCAAAGACCCATACAAAGCATTTTTTTTTAACATTCAATTTGATTCCATTTCAAACATGATGGAACTCATATTGTTGTTGGGTTGGTCCATATGAATCGCAATGATAGTGGGAACTGTTTGGGGGGAGATAAAGTATATAAAAACAGTAAAAGGGGCATATTAAAAAATAAATAAAAAATAAGAGAAGTAAATATAGAAAAAGAAGGAGAGAGGGAGAAGATACATGTGACATTAACTTAAATTTGGCTTTTTGTCTCCTTCAATTTCTCCTTTTTAAAGTTTGTGACTGTGAATATGGCTTCAATCATTGCAAAAAGAAGCAATAGAGGACTCATAAATCTTTTTATACGTGTAGTCCAAATTGGTGTGCACTCTTTTCATCATAGCCCAGGGTGGCAATACAAGATAAAACAGAGCATTAGAGTGTTTTTAAGTAAAGTACATTGAAAAACAGAAAAAATTATAACAAAATTCATACAAATACTCTTCTTTACTTTTAAATGTCATAATTGAATAAAGTCTAAAGAAAATCTTGATTAAGATAGTTTTATAACTTGTTTAAGATTAAAGACAATATATTTTGATAAAAAAATAGTGATATTTAATACATATATTAAAATAAGATTATGTATGTTCTTGTTTGCAGTAATGTTTAAAAAATATATAATTCTTTTTTATTTATTTAAATACGGTTTCTTGCAAAAATATTTTTATTTTTAATAACAATAATGTTTTCATTTACCGCCACAATATATATTTAGTGAACTTAACGTCTGATTATAAGTTAATAATTTATTTCATTCATATACTATTTCATTGATTCTGGTAATACTATAGCAAAATTAAGGTCATATCTTCTCTATTGCATTTAAAATTATCATAATACTTAGTTGCTTTAAATTCTTTATCATTTTAATATAGAGATTTGGACAATTCTTTATGAAACAAGTTTTTTTATATTTGTTTAATTATTAGATTTCTGTTGACTGACCAATGCTTTAATGTCGAAAAACACACACACACACACATACATACATATATATATATATATATATATATATATATATATATATATATATATATATATATATATATATATATATATATATTAAATATGTCTCATGATCTTTAAAACAGAAAGTGGATAAGAAACTGGTCGACTATGTTGGTGAAAAATAATAATAATAAATGAATAATTTAATATAAATATGCAGCTGAGTTAATTAAATTTTATATTCATTAAATAGAAAATATGAACTATGTTTAACAAGACAAAAAAAATATTATTTGTAGAAGAGAATAAGGGTGTGTTTGATAGTTGTAAAAAATAATTTATTTTAATAATAGATCATACATAAACTATTATTGTTATACCTTATTATAATCAAAATTATTTTTTTATCTGAGTAAGTTTATTGAAATGTAACTTAAAAATAATTATTTTTGTTTGAAAAAATTAAAGGAAATTTCTGCTTTTATTTACAAGCTTAAACTTCGGGGAAAATATGAATGAAATGGTTGATAAGAAAGAGGGAGTGTAAAAAATAAAAGAAAGAAAATAAAAAATAAAAATATTTAAATTAAGAGAAATGAGTAAATGGATAAATCAAATATTTTTTTATTTTAATATATTTGTTATTATTTATTGGTATAATAATAAAATAATAAAATATTAATTACTTTTTTAAAATATAATGATTACGTTTACATATTTAAACTTTCGCGACAAGACGAATTCTACCTCTATTTTATGCTTTGTTACGTTAAAATAGATAAAATGATTGTATTTCATCGCATTCCTTGTTTCCACCGTTGGAAATAATCATGCTTAAACAAGCAGCGAGGGAGAAGATGTGATTTGTAAAAACTAATTTGGTCATATAAAATCAAAGATTTTTGAATGAAAATTATCCTAAAAATAACATTGAATGAAGTGACGTGCGAACAGTTCAATATATAAAGATAAAAGTATTTATGATGTTTTAACCAAAGAATTGGTTTACAGTATATAATAGATTCATGATCTTGCCAAAAAGTGTCTTTTTCGTTCTATTTTATTTTCTTAAAAGAAAAAAGATTTGCCTACGATGCTATCCTGAGGAGCCGAGTCTGAGTTGAGGGTATTTAATAAAACTAATATCTTGAATAAAGTGTTACGGTGACTGTAAGGGATTGCGAAACATAAACAAAATTAAAACAGATGACTCGTAACTGAGAGGAAGAGGAAGATGATAATTGCAGGCTTAAGTAGTCTCTGAGATTGACAGGCTAAAAATAAGGGATGTGATGTGTGATCTTGACGATCATGCATATGTCCCACCTCTCTAGATTCTCACTCCCTTATTCTTGTTTTTTTTTTTTTTTTTTTAATTTTAATTTTAATTTTTTTTTTCTTTTCCGATTCTCTGTAGCTGTCTTTGATTGTGTACTTTGGAATTGGAGTGGTAGTGGGAGTGGGGAAGACGATGGGTGAGGTTGTCTTTGTGCCATGAGTTGACCACTTACATGTCGTTCTTCTTCTTTTTGTTCTAAGTTTTTCATAGGTTGTTTTAAGATTTTATTAATAAAATGTCGTTTCAAGATTATTACATGGTACATGTTAATCACTTGGAGAAGATTTTCTAAAATTGTTCGTGACTCGATTTGGCCAAAATGTGTCTCTGTGTACGAGAGAGATTGATAGTCTATCAAAGTCCAAGCATTAATTATCACAATTAGTGTTAGTGTATTTACGTGGAGTGATGGAGCTTTACTGTTCATATCGGGTTAAATAATATAATTATTAATAAATAAATATATATATAAAAAAATTATAAATATATTAAATAATTATTAAATTTAAAAGATTAAAATTATAAATTATATAAAACTTAAAAATAAAAATTATTAAATAATTATTAAATTTTAAATAAAAAATTACAAAACTTCAGAAAATCACCGACCTTTCCAATTTTTTTAAGTCCACTACAGAATGTCTGCTACTGTTTACGTCATCCAGGTCCCTGAAATATATATAAGGTATGAATTGGAAATTTTTTGTTTTTTTTTTTAACATTCAACACCAAGTTCAGTAATTGTTATTTTTTATCAGTTTAGTAAAATGCTAAGTAAGATTAAATGTTCGTTTGTAAAAAAGATAAAAAATAAAAACGGACAAAAAACATCACTTACCTGAATAAGATTGGAACACGTAAAATGTCGTGTAAATCAGAACCATAAGGCTAAATACTCTTAGTGGTTAATGTAAGAAAATATAAATAAAAAGTGATTAATATAGCAAAATAAGTAAAAGAAAGAAAATTCTTATTTAATAACAAGAGATTGGATAAAAAAAGCTGTTATTTAATATATATATATATATATATATATATATATTATTTTATTTTTTTACTTTCCACTTATATATATACATATATAATGAAAGAATAAATAAATAAATATTATTTTATAAAATTATTTTTGTTTAAATAAATTATTATTTATTGTGATATTTATAATTTTAATATATATATATATATATATATATATATATATTAAGTTTTAAGTAATATTTTAATAAAATATTATAAATAAAAAGTAACTATAAAAATAAAATAAATAATTTAATATAGTATTTTTATTTAATTTAAACTTGAATATTAAAAAATAATTTTATTATAAAAATATTGTACAATTATATATTAAAATATATGTTATTAAAAATAAATATTAAATTAAACTCATTAATTTAAAAATTTATTTTATTAAAAAAAAACTCATAGTTATATAAATATTTTTTTCCTACACGAATAAATAAAGAATTAAGTTTAAAAGAGGCCAAAATTTCTTATTATTGCTAAATATTATAAACATTTATATTTTGTATTAACAAATAAATAAAAAGGAGTGTGGGGTTACAAATGTGAGAAGAGAAGAGAAAAATGATAACAGGTAATGAATGAATGGATGGTACAAGAGGTGTCAAAGTCAAATGTGGTGGTGATGATTGAAATATGTGAATGAAGGTGCCAACTGCCAAAAGCTGCGTACATGGTGTCGCTATAATACTACTCCACCCAATTCAACTAATAACACTTTCTTTAACCCTTTCTTTAACACTCCATCACCACTCTCTTCTCCAACTTCTTCCAACCCCAATCGGGCTTCTTCCTCCTTCCCACCACTCCAAACCCTACACGTGTTCCATCACACTTTCCTTCTCCTCCTCCGGCACTCGCCCATTGCCATGTCACTGTAATCTCACGCAGCATAACCGAACCAGCATGGACATCATTCCTGGGAAGATCCGAAAACGAGGTTGTTCCTCCTCTGCCTCCTCCTCCTCCTCCGTCTTGCACAACTACCGCTTCAAGAGAACAATTCTGGTGGGGAAGCGCGGTGGATCCAGTACGCCCGTTCCCACGTGGAAGCTCATGAGCTCCAGATCTCCGCTCCGCCCATTGGGCTCCTCTCCTAAGTACCCGCCGCCGCAGACCGCCGCCAAGCCCCGCCAGCCTCCGGTGTCGGCGAGGAAGCTCGCCGCCACTCTCTGGGAGATGAACGAGATTCCTTCTCCCAGCGTGAGGTCCAAGAAGGAAGTCAGAGTCAGAGAAAGGGTTGCTAGGTCCATGCGTTCTGGCTCTTTACCTCCCCATTTGTCCGATCCGTCACACAGTCCTGTGTCCGAGGTACTCTCTCTCAATTTCATGTTTTTTCTTTTAGCTACTTAACTAACTACCAATTACATCACTGTATATGTTTCTCAGAGTTTTCTTTTTGTAGAGGATGGATCGATCCGGAACTGGGAGTCGCCAGAGAAGAACTCCTTCTGTTTCTCACAGACCGAGGATCACTGAACACCATGTTGGCCCTTTGGACTCTCTTAGCAATGTCAGTCTCATGGAGGTATTTCACCTATACTTATACTATGAGAACGGTTCTGGCCTAATTGCATATCAGATTTCATAATCATAAGGAATTAAGGTTGGTTGAGAATTGTGTCAATGTCTCTTTACGAACATTAAATAGGTGGGCTCCGTATCATACTTATGAAAAGAGGGGGATGATCCTCTCTTTGAGGTTTTTATATAACAATGTCAAGTGAAAATTGTGTCTGCATGTCTGTATGTCTGTCTCTTCGTTGATGATGAATGGGTCCTGCAATCTTGTGTTTGTAAAGAGAGATATAGACACAGATGTAAGGATCCATTCCCACAAGTAGAGAGGTAGAAATTTTACATGATCTTGTCACGTGAAAATGTCACATGAGAGAAGGCATTCTCATTGAAGTTATTTTATGTTTTTTGTTTTTTGAATAGCGTTTTCTTGTGTTTTTTGTTGTTTACAGATGTTGAAATCCCTCCAGTGTGAAATGCCCTGTTATGTATAACTATAGCACTTTTTTACTTCTCAGGTTTTCAGTATATTTTGAAAAAGTTAGGAGCTTCTTTCAGTGAAAAGGCTGTATAGGTGCCAGCTGCAAAGGATTTGTATGCAGTGCACCACTTGCACGCGGTCCCTAGTTTGTACTCTTAATAGTAATTATACTTTTAGCACATCTATTAGTACTTCGATGTTTGGTGACAGATTAATATTTCTTCTTCATATGCGAATAGAAGATCTATAATAAAACAGATACAGCAATGCCAAGGTTTTCTATTCGCATCAGATTGGGCAAACTACATAACAAACTAATTTATTTATTGTGCTGTTACTTTGATTGGAGATTCGGTTTTGTTCTTTTTGTATAGTCTGAAAATGTACCCTGTACAAACGTGAAAAAGCCTGTCATGCAATTCGCCCATTTAGCATTCAATTGCATTACTCTGTTCTCTCAAGTTTATGTGATGACCACATGCCTCCTTACAGTTGCATCTTGGTTTTCTTCCAGATTGAAACCAGATCCCGAGCACAGACCCCTGCTTCATCTGCTATTGGAGTTAAATCACGTTTAAAAGATGTTAGTAATGCATTAACAACATCCAAAGAGCTACTTAAAATTATAAACCGCATGTGGGGTCATGAAGATCGTCCTTCATCTAGTATGTCCCTAATCTCTGCTTTGCACACCGAGCTGGAGAGGGCTCGCTTACAGGTCAATCAGCTTATTCAGGAACAGCGCTTGGAACAGAATGAGATAAATTATTTGATGAAGTGTTTTGCTGAAGAAAAGGCTGCTTGGAAAAGCAAGGAGCAAGAAATTGTTGAGGCTGCAATTGAATCTGTTGCTGGGGAACTTGATGTTGAGAGGAAGCTCAGGAGACGTCTTGAAAGCTTGAACAAGAAGCTTGGGAGAGAACTGGCTGACACCAAAGCATCCCTTCTTAAGGTGGCGAAAGAACTTGAAAGCGAGAAAAGAGCAAGAGAAATTATTGAGCAAGTATGTGATGAGTTAGCAAGAGATGCTGATGAAGATAAATCTGAGATCGAGCAACAAAAGAGAGTGTCTACAAAAGTTTGTGAAGAGGTAGTGAAAGAAAAGGAAATAATGCAGCTGAGTGATAGGTTACGCGAGGAGAGAGCACAGAAGAAACTCTCCGAGGCCAAATATCAGCTTGAAGAAAAGAATGCAGCCGTGGATACACTCCGGAATCAACTTGAAGCTTTTCTAGGAAGCAAACAGGTTAAAGAGAAAGGTCGCAGTTCCACACACTTGAATGATGAAGAAATTGCTGCGTATTTGAGCAGAAGCCGATTAAGTTCCCATTTCGTTGAAGATAAAGAAGATGATGGAGGAGAAGTTGACAATGGAGTAGAATGTGAGGAGGAATCTGCTGAAAGTGATCTGCATTCTATAGAGTTAAATATGGACAACAACAATAAGAGTTATAAGTGGTCCTACCCTTCTGAAAGCAGATTTGATACAAGAAGATATCCAATTGAGGAAGAAGTGAAAGGTAGTAGGAGGTCTACCTCTGGTAGGGCTTCAAGAAGAAGCACATCCCTGCAAAGGAGTATATCAGATGGAATTGAATGGGGTGTCCAAGCTGAGAAGCTTCAATATTCAGATGGGATAGATTGGGAAAGCTTTTATGAGCTGGAAAAGCAAGCACAAGGAAAAGGATATGGGGATGAAATGCAAGGCTATAAATCAGTAAAAGGTTTAAGGGATCAGATATTGGCTAGTTCGAGGCTTGGATCTTCAAGAGGTTATGCCAGTCCCACTAGACAATTTTCCCAGCCTTGGCCATCACGCGATCTCACAAATAACTTCCCGGAGAGACCTGCTACAGCACAGGGCAATGGTCCAAAATCAAGGTTAGGGGAAGCCAGGGGTGAGGGCCAGAGTGTAAGGAAGTCCAAAAGGTGAGTTAATGCTCATCTTTTTACACAATGGCCTTGATTGTGAAGCACATACCCGTTTGCTTCTGCTATCATTGTGGCTGGTCAAAACGCAGGACGCCTAATATCATAGATCCGCTAGCCTAGATGCTGAAAGAAGCTTTTCTTCTTTTGAGTTTTCCCTTGTTGATAGCCCATGGCTGCTGAAGTTGCAGCACTCGCTGCTTAAATTTTCGTTTGACCCTACGTTTAGGTATGGTCCTGTTTGTAGAGTTCAGAACATGTGTTATATAAGTATAACCGGCGAGTTTTTTGTTTTCTCCTGTAATATATGCTGAAGGTGATTAAGAACATTTTGTATTGTCTCCTTCTGTATCTAAGAATGCTACCACTTTGTCTCCCACAATGTGTTTACTGTGCAAAGAATATCCAATTGGCAGGGATGGTGGGTTTAGGGTCTGTCTTGTTTGTTTCAACTTTGAAAATTTGAGAAATGTTACCACGATAGGATAACTATAACAATTTTTATTAGGCTCATTAAAATCATTTTGTGATAAAAATTAGAAGAATATACTATATTCAGTGAATTTGATTAATCACATTTTTTTTAATTCAGGAGTATTTTTTTAGACATTTCAAATGATTTTAGATATATGCCGTACAATCCAACCAAAGAAGAGAAAGAAACTTAAAGCAAACCAGAAGACCCAACTAAGGAAACATGTACCATTTTATCTTTTTGAAAAGAAAAAAAATACACTTAAGAAACATAATTATTACAAGAACTCAAATTGCGCAGTTTTTAATGTTTTATTGGACAACTCTTTTTGAAAACAAGGTCCCTTTATAGAATGAAAAAGATCTATGTAACGAAATTGTAATAATTAAAAAATAATTTAAATAAAGAAATATAGGTACAATAATTATAAAGATATTACTGAAATTTGTTCTAGTGTGATTGATTACCCGTGCAACCCAAGGAATTATATTATATATTTAATAATTAATAAATTAATATAATAAGTTTAAAAAATAATAATAAAGATATACAAAATGATAAATGAAAAGATAATGTATTGAAAATTTACCTATAAGCTCAAATTATATTTAATGGAGTGAATTCTTCTGTATTTGATTAAAATGAAAATTAGTAACAAAATTCATTATAAAAAAATACAAAAAATAATATATTAATATTAAATTAATATTTCATAAGAATTTAACATCTTATAAGAAGTCTTTTAAATATTTAATTTTTTTTATACTATATTCTTTGTTGATGTATAAACATTTCCCTCTTCATCTATAATTAGAATATTTAATCCATTTTTTGTTGTTACTCTAGACATATCTATAATTGACCATGTGTAAACATAGAACGTAGAAGATAAAGTCCTATTTTATTTAATGATTGTCCTTGACTTTTATTTATTGTTATTGCAAAACACATTGACAAAAGAAATTGTCTTCTATAAAAGTTGAAGGGAAATCCTATATTTGAAGGAATTAAATCCATTTTTAGTATAAATACTTTGTCACCAATATTTTTTCCAGTAATTACAGTAGGTAAAATAATTTTTTTTTCAAATCATTGACTTGCAATCTTGTTTCATTACAAAGTCCATTAGCTTGATCAATGTTTTTTAAAAGCATAACGGGGACACCAACTTTTAACCTAAGACAATGATTTGAAATTCCTGAACATTTAAAGTCATTTAGAAACTCTAGTATAAATCATTCATCTTGAACTTCTTGGTCTTCATCTGATTGGCAAGGTGTGTCTAAACTTAAGTAACTCTTTTCTTCACTAGGTATTAAAGATAGAATAAATCCATTCACCTCATCTACAAATTCAATAGTTGGACAAAGTATTGCTCCATCATGAAAGAAACTAGGAGAATTTATGTTATGAACAAAATTAGGATAAACAAAATCAACCAATGAAAGTAATGGTGTCATTGTTCTCAATTAAAAGATTTATTGGTATGTCAATATGACCTTCACTATTTTCATTTAGGTCCTATTTCCATCACCTATGTTCAATATCCAATTAGCAAATTATTTTATATCCCTTGCATTCTCACATATTCTTGTAGTATTTAATCTCATATTTTCAGATACCTTCAAAACTTTGCAATTGTTCCACAATTTTGAGGAATTTATTGATGATTTAACAACATCATGTCTTGAACCTTTTCTCACAATAGGTAGAATTTGCCTAAAATCACCTCCTAAGATGACAACTTTACCACCAAATGATTTTACATGATTATCTTCATTTTGACATTTCATAATATCCTTTAATGTTCTATCAAATGCTTCAAAGTACAATCTATTCATCATTGATGCCTCATCCCATATAATTAACTTGGTTTCCATCAAAAGTTTAGCTCGAAGACTCCCTTGAACAATATTGCAAATTGATTCTCCATTTATTAATAATGGGATGCAAAAGGTAGAATGAGCGGTCTTTCCTCTAGGAAGTAACAAAGAAACAATTCCACTTGAAGTTACATTAAGAATAATAATTCCTTTAGACCTCATAGCAGCTGACAAAGTTTTCCAAAGAAATGTCTTTCCTGTACCACCATAACCATATACAAATAAAATCCTCTTTGTTTTAAAAATATTGCTGTAAGAATCTCTTCATACACATGCATTTGATCATTAGTCAATGATTGGACGAGTGATGCCTATAACTTACTCATGTGTCATTTATCATAACTCAACTCATCAATAATAAATCGATTTTGAAAGAGAAGTGTGTCTGAATATTCAAGTTGTGGTAGACAACTATAATATTTTAAAGACCTAACATTTGACATAAGTAATTCTTCTAATTCTAGAAGACATAGATTATGCAATTCAATTTCATCAATTTCAAGATCTATAGAAACAAATCAATGTTATAAATATGCAATTTTGTAAATTATTTTGAATAAGAGAAAAAGCTACATACTTGGAAAGTTCAAGTCTTGTCTTTTTGGATATAAAATATCATCCAATAATAACTTCCAAGTAGAATTCCAAACAACATGTGGTTTGGACATGGTGTTCATCACTAACAAAGAGATAAATAATTTTCTCAATTGATTTCCAGATGCAAGTTTGCTAGCTTCAATGATTGCATCAATGAACTCTTTATCATCTGCTAATAATCCCAAAGCATAACAAGCCTTTTGATAGGTTTTAATTTTTCCATTTACAGAATTTATGCTATCATGATCAATGCAACCTTTTCGAATAGTTAATAAAATTCTCATATATAATTCACCAGATCCAGGTGGAACATAAGTAAGCCTACCAATATTGAAGCCTTGTTGTCTTGGTTTCCATCTTCTTTCTTGAGCTATCCATACAAATTTGTTTGGATATTCAACATATGTCAAATTCTCCCCTCAACATATATTTTATTAGCCTCAAACAAAGCTAAAAACATTATTTGAACATCTTCTTGCTTATTCAAAACAACTTCAATTTGATCATTATCTTTAAAAAAAATTGATTGTTCAGAAAGAAGATGAAATGTTAATCTATGAACAACTGGCCATCTATGATGAATGTCAAAACAAAAAATTCTCCAAACTGCCTCTGATGGTGATAAGTATCTACAATCATAGTACCTCTTGATTTCATCAACAATAGTTGGTTCTGTAAATCATTAGAAGTGCTATTTATTTTAAGTGCAACTCTATCTGGACCCTAATTGACATATTTAAATAGATACTTGATTGAATTAGACTTATTGCAATATTCAGTATTGACATGTGCTTGATACCTCATCAAAAGAAGTGGACTATAAGGAATAACTCTTCTATGATCTACCTTCAATCCATTTTTTTTCAATAAACATACCATTATCTTGACGATTGTAACATGGATAACCATATTGATCAATGATAGTTGAATTTGTAAAACTTTTTGGATAATATTGAGAGCATATACTTGCATTCATGCAAGGTGAATTGAATGAGTTGCTCCACATGGACCATGAATCATGTAGCTAGCAATAACTTTTGAATGTTTTGGATACAAATATGGATGAGGTAATTTAGTAGAGATGGCACGATCAATATCCCTTGCATTTTGTAATTTATTATTATCACCATCTAACCACAATAATATATGAGCATGTGGAAGTCCTCTCTTTTGGAATTCAATAGTATACATTCCTAACATCATAAAAAAAATGAGATAAATAACATGTTTAACAATCAAAGTTTTTTCATATATAATAAAACATAATACTAACTTGCATTCCTTTGCCAGAGAAGTTATTCTTCTTAAAATATATCATCATTTGATCTAGTTTCATCTTGAAAACACTGCACATAATATCTGGTCCATATGAAGGTGTTAATCATTTTTCAAGTAGAAACTCATGTATTTCACTCCACTTACATATAATTGTTATAAACAAATCAAGATATCCAAATCTCTTGCAAATGGTCATGACATCTTGACAATTATTAAATATATATTTCATTCCTCCAGTAAATGAAGCTGGTAAGACAACACCTTTGTCAATTAGAGAATGATTAGTCTCTCCTCTACTAACTTCCTCTTGCAATCCATTAAGAATATGACAACGAAATAGTTTTTGATTTGCTCTTATGAAAGACAATCTTTGAGCATCAATCATAGTGTAACAATCAACCAAAAATTGTTGGAACAATCTACGTCCATTAACTATGTTACCAAATTCAACATCTCTTTCTTGAATTTGAAATGTGACAAATTCTCTTAAAGATATATGTACTCTTATGCGATATCTAGTACAATTGTGAGTTTCTCTGATTGGAATATGTTCTTGATAACCATCTTCTTCATATGGAAACATCATTGGACATTGTAATGGAATAAAAGCAGTATGAGTTTCATGTAGCTTTGATAGTTGACCAGATTTTTTTTCTAACAATTATATCCCTTCCTACATCCATGTTATCCAAATCACTTACTATAAGTGCAACCACTTCATCAGATGAAGGTATATTATAAAGTCTAGCATCCTTACATCGATGTCAAAATAATCGTAAACTAAAATCTAATCTTGAATCTTTATATACCAAATCTCTAACTCTTCTTAATGATTGAGCAATAACACTGAACTCATCAACCATTTTAGTCAAATCAGCAATCAAAGATGTATAAACTTTTGGGGTATTTAATTTTTGCCTGTAAAGATACAAAGACATAAATAAGAATTCTTCAAAATCTAATAACGTTATAATAACAAAAAATAATAATAGTACATACCTAAAGTGACTAATTCTATTTGATATCTCATCGTGAGTATAAAAAATGTAAAATTGTGCAAATTTGGGAACACAACCACTCTCTCTGGCAACAAACTTATGATGCAATGATAATTTTGCCCATGAAGAATGAATGGAGGAGGATCAAAACCATCATTGATTGAAGAATAAATTTTGCCACCAATTGATGTAAATGAAAATATGTTATTATATATTCTAATGTTGTCCAAAAAATGTTTGCTTCTATGATCCTAATCA